GCCTCGTTGGCTTCTTTTACCTCTAGATGCTAATAATCTACTGTCGTGGCTTAGTTATATCCGTTGGATCGATTGTTTATCCCAGCCGTTGGATTCGAACCAGTTGTCGGGATTCTGGGGCCATGATTTCTTTTTTTTTTTTATAATTAAAAAGGAGAAAAAGTGATTATTTTGGGGGTTACATGATGACAAAAACGTGGCCATACACGTGGGTCGTCCCGTGGCACCTTTGGAAAATCTGAATCGGTGGTAAAGATGGACGGTCGAGATCTTTAGTTGGGTTTGACAGAAGTGCTCTCCGCGTCGGAGATTAGATTACTGATAGTCAAAGGTCTTGTCTCTAGTGTATTTACCATAATATCCCTTTTACTAGTCAATTTTATTTAATTTCTTAACCTCAATCAGTTACTATCTTAATTTTCTACTATATATTTGAAAAATCAAAACCATATAGAAATATGTTCATTAGTAATTAGCAAGAGTTAAGGTATTTTTATTTTCATTCCATAGTAAAAAAATTGGAGGGCTTTATGCAAACATAGCGTCATTAAAATATGATTGTATTTTAGCTGATGTATGGAATTATTCTTTTGGTCTAATACCCTAATATATCTACCAAACTAATTATTCAGAAATTTGTTGGAAGGAGAAAAAAGTTAAGTATCTTAAACTTGTAATACTGTTATGAATAAAATCAAATCCATATAAATTATGCCTATTGGGAATTAGCAAGAGTTTCATGTCATAGTAAGAACTATTTTCATTCTATAATATAAGATATTTAAATATTATTTTTTTATTTTATTTTGTAAGATGTTTTACATGTTTTTATACAAAATTAATGTATATAACCATTTATGTTCTATATTATTTATTTTTATTGATTAATATATTTGTAATTATATATTAAATGATATTTTTAATGTTATAAAAACAAAAGCTAAACTAAATTAATATACTTGTTATATTACGCGGTTTCAACTAGAAAATCTTCTATAATGAGTATTTTTTATCTTTTGAATAAGTTTTTAAGTTTTGCAAATATTATGGCGTCACAAAAATATATGATTTTCAAAAATTAACAAGTTAATTTATATGATTCAGAGAGTTGCACATGACTTCACCTGATGTGATAACGGATTTGAAGAGGAATTATACACAAAGTTTAATACTCGAATTCTAAATCCTTTTTTTATTACATTTAATTTTTTTAAAGACTTGGGAAATTAAACGAACGGACCACGTAAGTCACATGAGGGATGCGTAGAGCGACTCGTAATCGAACACGTGTACGGTAAAGATGACATGTGAATGAAAATTAAAGAAAAAACAAATGGTTTGCACAAAACTCGATGATCCAACTCATCAAACACGACCGTAGTTTACGCTGTTTTATATTCTCTTGACACGTGTCTGATGACGTGGTCATCGTCTTCGCGCTCCGTTTTCTCTCTCTCTCCTCTTCCTTCCTCCCTC